ATTTTTAATAATTTTTTTACTATTAATATTTATAATAATATTTGGATATATATTTACCCATTAATTATATTGTTTACCGCCTCTAACTTGGTTTTGTAAAGTGCTCCAAAATGGCGGCAAAAGCCTTCAAAAAGCTCTTATCAATTTTTATCTAGAAGAGTATTTATAAGATTTGAGTAATGATAGGAGGACAATTTTGGAAGATGAAAACGGAGAACGACAAGTGAAATAAGGTTAAATTGATAATTTTATATCTTATAATTTGACTTTACTTCATTTATCATCTCCCAAAATCGTCCCCTTTATCATTACTCATAAGATTTTAGATATAAGATTTTAGAATAATGGGAATGGCTTCACTTGACCTGCAACCTGTGCCAAAATAAAGACAGACTGTGCCTCGCTGAAAATCGCACAGGGTGTCGACACTTCAATGGAAGTACTGACACCTTCACTGCATATTGGACAGAGAGTTCGTGTCGGACATTTTGGACCAAAATGCAATTTTGGTGCTTCTTTGGAAAACTGTTCTGGTCTTTCATCTTTCATCAATTGACACTTTGATTCTCATATTTTTTATTTCTTCAGTTTGGTCCTAAAAATTACAATTTTTTATTTTTTATTTTCTTTTTATTAACTACTTTGATTTATATTTTTAAGACTCGCACAGGGTGTCGACACTTCAATGGAAGTATGGACACCTTCACTGCATAGTGGATGCAGAGTTCGTGTCGGAGATTTTGGACAAAAATGCAATTTTGGATTTTTGGTGCTTCTTTGGAAAACTGTTCTGGTCTTCCATCTTTCATCAATTGACACTTTGACTCTCATATTTTTGATTTCTTCAGTTGGGTCCTAAAAATTACAATTTTTAATTTCTTTTTTGTCTTTTTATTAACTACTTTGATTTATATTTTTAAGACTATGTTGTTAAACCAAAATTACGAGAGAGATCGATAATGGTAAATTTTTTAATGTTAAAATATGATTTTATTAATTTAAATTATTTTAAATTTTATTTATATTTCTTTGAAAATTTTATAATTATTGCATGCTTTAATTTTATATAATTAATGTTTCGATGAGATGAAGGGACATTATCAGCATCACAGACTTAGCTCACTTTCACCTCTTTGATCAATACCCATATTATCTTTCAGTCTTTCCTCAATCTTATTTTTACCTTATCACCTAACATGCACAGTTTCAATGGGATTAAGGTGGAATAGGATGCGAAAGGGATCGTCATATGAGTTCGGTTTTCAACACTCAATCTGAGATTAACATTATCTTACCAACCTCCGAAGCTAAGTTTCTTTTTTGGGAGTTTGGAGTTGAAAAACTAATTGTTTTGAAAAAGTAAATATTTTTTTATAAATTTAAAATTATATTAAAAAA